CCCCCCCTCTCTCTCTCTCCCCCCCTCTCTCTCTCTCTCCCCCCCTCTCTCTCTCTTCTCCCCCCCCCCTCTCTCTCTCCCCCCCCTCCTCTCTCCCCCCCCCCTCTCCTCCCCCCCCCCCTCTCCTCCCCCCCCCCCCCCCCCCCCCCCCCCCCCCCCCCCCCCCCCCCCCCCCCCCCCCCCCCCTCTCTCTCTCTCCCCCCTCTCTCTCTCTCCCTCTCTCCCCCCCCTCTCTCTCTCTCTCCCCCCCCCCCCCCCTCTCTCTGGCTTTGCTGACAGCAGGTGGTTGCGACGCTGTTCTTCCCCGGGCGTTTCTGCAGAGGCTTTTGTGTCAGGGCTCCGGTAGCACCTGAGGTGGAGGGGATTCAATCGATTTGCCTTCCAGCAAAACTCGAGAGAGAGAAAGAGAGAGAGAGAGTCACGTTTCGACTCGGTGTCCTTTCCCTCCTTCTTGACCATCAAAACACCGGTGTGTCAGTCCGGTGTCCCCCCGGGGTGACTGTGCCCGGTGGCAGTCTGTGTTCGGGATGGTCGCGTGTTTAGCTACGACCCTTGGCCCTCACCCTCAGTGTGACTGGCCACGTCTTCCCTGTCAAAAAGGTGTTGTTGCTCGACAAGCAGCAAAAAGTCTTTCGGTGCCAAAATTTGCCAATGCTCGGTGTGTGATGTAACCAGCTCCATGAATAGCTAATGTCGGCCGGGCCGTGCATCTCACAGACAGACACCTTTGCTCCAGGCCTTTTTAAAGGTTCCACTGCTATAATTTCCGAAGAGCGACTCTCAAGTGTCCGCCATATGGTGTGATCCCGTTGCTTAGTTAATGTTCCTACTTATTGAGTGTTCAGCTACCGGGGCCGAACCTGACCATGGTGCGAAAGCTGGTTTGTGTGCTCTGAACCTTTTTACTGGTGCACCACACGTCTGATTCCATCCTGGGTCAGTAGGATGCCGTAGTCTGGCTACGTATCTGTATGTGAAGTTGTTTTTTNGGGAACTTTAATCCGATTCCGGTCAACAAGAACCAATTATTATAAACTGGCAGTATCAAGAATCGAGGTGAACTGCAGCGGTACAATAGCAGGTTCTCTTAATGTGCAGGTATCGGGTATTTTTCTCTGATTCTGACTTCCAACAGTAAAGAACAGCAGCTAACCACATAAATTCTAAAGTTGCACCATATGCAGTTCTGGGTAAAAATGAAACAATACTTTCATGTGTGTAGAATACGTCACAGCCAGGCTGCTTTCCCAAGTAACTCCCAACATTTTGGAAAGTTATATAGCTGCCACCTAAACAAAATGCCACTTTTTATAATCCTGCTGGTAATGAATCAATAACTATCACAAGGCAGACTTTTACTGTGTATTCAGCAATTTGGCAGATAAAATCACCATGAATCTCATGATTTGCCCCTACGTTTTGGAATTCTAAATGATATGTTAGATGGAAATTACTCACAAATCTGCTATAGTTTTGAATAAACAGAACTTATACAGTTGTCTTAACTGGAATATCCCATTTGTTTACTTTGTAATTTTGTGGTTGGTTTCTCTTGCTAAAACATTGTGTTCAGCTTCATATCTAATACTATGGGAAAGAATGTAGTACATGATGATCACTTGTCAGTTTTAATAATCACATTGAGTGGCCCAGAAATGGAAGTTACGACTATGGAGATGTATACTTTTTGGAGGTTAGATTGGGAATAAAAAGGGGTGAGTGGTTAAAAGTTTAATTTTTTAAATAATTTTGGCAGGGATTTTGGATTCTGGCACCAGGCAGTATGGTACCACTTCAGATTTTTGTCTGATGTTTCCCATCTCTAAATATTCTCCCTTGCTCCTAAAAGCATTTGATTTTTTTTCCTGTTCCTGATATCACATACAAGTGGCCGTTATTCATTATTGGTATTCACTATGTTGGCAGACTGGTTGAGAGCTCAGTCCAGTATCTACACAATTTGTACCTTCCAATGGTGTCTCTGAATAGGAATTGGAGTGCCCTGGCTGATTCTGCTCCCCCCTCCCCAAGACAGTATTGTCTATTACAGCACCAAAAAAAAGCAGAAGCTGACAGCACTGGTTGGGATATAAACCTGCAACCTTTTTGGTCCATCACTTTTGCTCACTGACCACTGATTTTATCCAGTGGGGCATCGGCGGGTTTGAAATTGTATTTGCGTACACAGTGTAAATATTTATCTGACAGATGAGAGTTGGAGATGATTAGAGGTTAATATCCACAAATGATCAGAAACTCCATGAAAAGGATGAGCTCACCTATTGATTCTTTGTTTGTTTGTACAGGGTCATGAACCTAAAGAACCAGAACAACTGCGTAAGCTGTTCATTGGTGGTTTGAGCTTTGAAACTACCGATGAGAGTTTAAGGGAACATTTTGAACAATGGGGTCAATTGACAGATTGTGTGGTAAGAACAATTGCTTGAAAACCTACAGACATTTCACCCTGCCGTCAGTGTTTCTAAGATTAAAGTGTACCCGAATGTGCTTTTCAGATGTAATAATATAAATAAAATGCAAAATACTGCAGATCTGGAAATCTGAAACAAAAACAGAGGTCGCTGTGAACACTCAGCAGGTCAGGCAGCATCTATGGAGAAAGGAAAGTGGGTCAAGGTTTTTGAGGCCTTGACCCTTTGTCAGAACTGGAGGATGTTGGGAGGGCTAACAGAGGACTAATAGAGTTCAATATTGGGTTCAATGACTTCAGACCATGAGAACATCTCCCATAACAGTTTACCTTCCCCCTGTTGTGTGACCATTAATTAGCACATCGTCTGGGGCCCAGACACACCTTTTCTCACTGGTCTGTCTCTGCTGCCCTGCTTTGTTTTGCATCATTAACACTTCTTTAACCCATCAACCCCTGTTCTCCACCCTATTTTCTCCTTTGTCTTTCTTGGCCTGCCGCCTCTCTCTTTTAGTCCTTAAAACCTCTCCCTCCCAAAATCTCCCAGTCTGGATACAGGAAATCTGGATCTCGTGAATCCTGATTTTCTGGAACTCGGAATTAGCTAGGTTGTTTTTTTTTAAATTCTACAATTCAAAAGTCACCCTGTGTTTTCAAACTCCCACCAACTGCCCACAGCTTGACACTGGTTGGTTTAGCTGAGAGCATCAAGAGAGTTGTATTGTGACAGTGGTGAATAGAGAATTACTGTTTTTTGTCTTAAATTATTTCAAACTCAGTGAATTGTACCATAAATATACAGTCAATTCACTTTACCGTGTGTTCTGTGAAGCGCTTTGGGACGTCCTCCTGACGTGAAAAGCGCTATATCAAATGCAAGGATTATTATTATATAAATGAAATGGTTCTCAAGCAGATTTCTTTTTAGGGTCTTACACCTGTGTGTATTTTGTGACTTTTTAAAAATATAATTTAAAGAAGATTTTTTTAAAACTATTTTTTAGGTGATGAGAGAGCCCAGCAAACGCTCGAGGGGTTTTGGCTTTGTGACTTATTCTTCTGTAGTGGAGGTAGATGATGCCATGACTGCGAGGCCACACAAAGTAGATGGCCGTATTGTAGAGCCTAAAAGAGCTGTGTCAAGGGAGGTGAGTTTTCATTTTCTATATATAATTATGCACAGTGCTTTACAAGTGTTGGAACAGTCTAACCAGCTTTATTTTACAGGATTCAACAAAGCCCGGAGCCCACCTAACAGTGAAAAAAATATTTGTTGGCGGCATAAAAGAAGACACAGAAGAATATAATCTGAGAGATTATTTTGAAAAATATGGAAAGATCGAAAACATTGAAGTTATGACCGATCGTGGAAGCGGAAAAAAGAGAGGGTTTGCCTTTGTCACATTTGACGATCACGATTCTGTTGACAAAATTGTTGGTAGGTACTTTACTAAGAATAGGTGCTCAGTCTGAGTAGCCATGCACATAATTTTGAGGGTTGTTTTGCTCAGCTAATGTTTAAACTCAGCTAGTTTTCCAGTGCATTTTTTCACAAAATTTGTTACGGTTCAATTCTGTAAACCTGACCAGAACCTTATGGATGTTAACTTTAATACGTGAAGGGTTAATCAAAAAATCAGCCTACCTGTTAAAAAGAAACTGAACTAATTCTAGCAAGTATGCCAAAATAAAACAACACTAGTCTTGTAGTTCCAATAAGTTTTATCCATTTTTTATTTCCTCTTCTGTGGGAAAATAGTTCATCTGTAGTTGACAACTTTCCACAATGGCATGTCTGAAATCAGTAGTTCACCATGTGGGGAATTGCAAGTGCAGCCTTATAGTGCAATGTTAAAATATTCAGGAGGGGGTTTCTAACGTCACTAATTGAGGGGTGTCTTATTTTAATGTAATGCTGCTCGGGAATCTGACCTTGAATGCAAGGTTAGTAGTGTTGGTTTAAGTCTTAAGGAAATATTTGTTTTATGTTTCTTTTACTGAAAATTTGTTCTGTGTGACTTCTTGCTTCAAATGTAATGTTTGTATTTGTGTTTTAGTCCAAAAGTACCATACGGTAAATGGACACAACTGTGAAGTAAGAAAAGCTCTTTCAAGACAGGAGATGCAGGGGATGGGTCCTGGTCAGAGAGGTAATTTTGTATTTGTTTGAGAGTACAAAAGGTGGGAGAAAAACTGTACCGTCTTGAATTCTGTACTAATATTGTCTGAATTCTTTTTAAGGTCGTAGTAATATTGGTGGGGGCTGTAACAGCCCTAGTTACATGGGTCGATCCGGGGGAAGTTTTGGTCATAGCAGCAGCTTCGGCAGTGGAGGAAACTTTGGCAGAGGTAATAATTACTATTTGCTGGTAATCTATTTGTTTTGGTAATTCATGACTATGATCATAGTGGATTTGGTATAGTGCCTTAGCAGGCTGGAATGACGTCTCAAAGCAGTTCATGGGATTTACTGTCCAGCCTCTCTTGGGAGATGAATGATGCATGTGCAGATTTCTCGCTGAATGTCTGGGGTGCAAGAGATTGACAGCGATTAAATTTCGGTCGAGTTGAGCTCCCTCCCTCTTGACAATTTGCCAACAAATGTAGTTTGACTATGCGTTGGGCCCACTGCTGTGGAAGGGACGTCCTCCCTATGTGAAAGCTGCTATATAGATGCAAGTTGCTGTTGTTGAACTACAGCTCCCAGGGAGCTCGGTGAGGCCAGGGGGGAGCTGATCGGTATACTGGCGCACTCTTCATTTCTCCCTGCGCACCAGCTGGCTCAAGAAGGTGGGGGGGGAGCATCGTAGATTACGAAAAGTCTCACTGGCCATCAGTGAATGCCGTACGTTGAGAATGACTTATCTAAGCTTGTACTTTCAGTGAAGGACCATTGGCTAGCATGTGTGGAACCTTAGAACTAAGAACATTTTGCCAAATTATGTACAATACTTGCGACAAAAGTCACTTAGTATTCATTCATCTAAGGATAATAGTATTGTAATGATGCAGCATGATTCATAATAACATGGTGGTGTCATGTTTTAATAGATTTTCAATTTTTTTTGCTTTTTAGTAGTGTGGGAAGGGAGTGACATACTAAAATTGTCAAGTTGGTATGTTCACTAACTTATTTCGTTTCTTTTGCTCAAAAGAAGAAATTGGAGGTTATAGTAGCAGGAGTGATTATGGACGTGGTGATGGATACAATGGATTTGGTGGTGATGGTATGTATAGAATTCTGTCAATCTTGCCGATTTGGTTATAAATGCTACGAAGGTTTGATCTTTCCAAATGTTTCAGAAATCTGTTTCTACTGAAAATTGTAAATCAAAATTCTCAAATGTTTCACAATTTCTATTAGTCGCCTTCTGTAAACCAGTATTTATATACCTATCCAACAACAATAAATTGCATTTATATAGTGCCTGTCACATTGGGAGGAAGTCTCAAGGTCCTGGGCAGTTGAGCATTTGTACCTGAGCAGGGGATTTGAGTCGAGGGGGTTGGAGGTGGGAGGATGACCAAAGGCACAGTCAAACTGGAAGGTTTTGAGACGGACCTTGAAGAAGGCAAGGGAGGGGACGAGTTAAGAGTGACTCCAGGATAGAATTCCAGGGGGTGGAGGCAGAAAGGCTGAACTATCGACCAACGATGGTGAGGCTGGCAGGGCGGTGTACTTGGGTCAGGTCCACTTAGCGGAGAGAGCGGGCAAGTTGGTAGTGTTCTAGTAGGTCGCAGAGGTTGAGAGGAACAAGATCATAAAGGGCTTTAAAAGTGAGGCAGAGAATTTTAAAATTCAATCCCCTGGGAGATGGGGAGCGAATGAAGCTGGGTGAGGATGGGGGTGATCGGCTCACAGAGCTTGGTGTAGAAGAGGCCATGAGCTGCAGAGTTCTGAATAATCTGCATCTCACGGAGAGAAGAGTTGGTAAGTCCGATGAGCAGGGAGTTAACACAGTCGAGCCTGGATGTGATATTCACTCATACTGGCCTTCACACCACTGATGGTGGTTTTGGATAATGCTGCTTGTTCTTGTATAAATGTTTCTGTATAACAGAGCACCATACATTGTTTAACTTTCTTGTAGTAGAGTGGAATACATTTCTTTTTTTAATTGACCCCTGAAAATCATCAATTGGTGTATTTTGCTGATTTTCATGATTACTTTGACAAATGTAGACAACATCTTTGCTTTATTTTCCCCCTTCCAATATGCATTGATGTTCATTCTTTATAATAGCCGATGGACAACGTACTCTTGTGGCTATTTTCCACTAACAAAAAAAGGTTAAGATTTATTAAGTTAAAACTGCTTACATTTTAACATTGAAAAAGACTTTTCAGCAGTGTTTAACAAAAATGCTTGACTCCCCATTGCCTCGATGATTTTATCTACAGTCGTGCAGATCAGCAAGAAGCTGGTTCAGTCGCTGATCTGTGCTCAAACTAATTATTGTTTAGGCTAACACAGGGATAATTGCCACCTTAGTGAAGGGTGGCTTCAAAAGCATGGCCCAGTAGAAGGAAAGGGGGTTGAGTTGGAAAAGTGTCAATCTGCTGTGACTACCTTTATTGAATGTTGAATATATGCATAAGGCTTAACTTCATTATTTATAGAAATGGAATTTACAATGGCAGCAGAATTGACTTGAGTCAATAGATTTCAATTGTGCGATTTGTACTCTGTAAGTGAGGTCCCTGAAGATCTGCCACTTAGTGTTGATCATGTTTGTCCAAAAAAACAGGTGCTTGTTTGTTCTTTTCCAACACAATTTCTTGTTTGCGATCGCTTTTGTATATGGTTTCTCACTCAGTGGCTTAGTCTGAAACTTGAGAGTTTGGGAGGAATTGAAGAACTGAATGGAAATCCAGCATTGACAAAATTAGAATATGAATCTAGTGGTGAAACTTGGGCCAGATAGACCATTGAGTCAGGAGTTCTCAGTTTATTATTCCAAATTTAGGATGCGGTAGTAGCTAATTCTTGTGTTTTTTTAAATTAAGATTAGAAATCTGAGCACACCAATGGCACTGGGTATTTGTGTAATAACATGTATTCCAGTTGCAGAGCAACTTGTGGTTACGCTGTTGATTTCAGATAGGGAGGCATAGTATGAAGAGAAGATTGGAGCATGTGAAACTTACACATTTGTGGGTGATTTGGAAATAGATTGGTAGCAGAGGTCAGCAGTTTCTCTCTTAGGGGAATGGTCCAGGAGCAGAAGAGGAAGGAGCACAATGGTTGTGTATTTAATATAAATACATACTACTGATGTTTCTCAGGTGGCAATTATGGAGGTGGCCCAGGTTATTATGGTGGTAGAGAAGGTGGAGGAGGATTTGGAGGCGGTGGTGGTTATGGCAGCCAGAGTGGATGTGGTGGTGGTGGAGGAAGCGGCTATGACAGCTACAATGATGGCGGAAGCTTTGGCGGAGGTAAGGTTTTGACTGATACAAATTTGAAAATAAAATTGCATGTTAATTGAAATTTCATATGTGTAACTTTGTTTGTAGGAAATTTTGGTGGTGGAAGCTACAGTGACTTTGGAAGCTACGACAGTCAACAGTCTTCAAATTATGGACCCATGAAAAGTAGCAGCTGTGGACGTAACACCAGCCCCTATAGTAGTAAGTACACTAGTACTGCAATTAGAAATGGCCTGTCGTGCATATGGAACACATGTTCTAGTTTCATGTTTTTCCTCTCTGAATGAAACAGGATATAGAACATTAAATGGCACCTAATATGTTTTTTGAAATTAAAACTATTCTGACTAACCTATATTGGATGGTTTCATGAATTTGCAAATAACAAGGGAGGTAAAAGAAAGGGATGTGAAGCCCATTGAAAACTAAGAGGCATGTAACAGCCAGACTAACTGACCTTTTCAATACAGAGGAATTTTAGGAGTATTTTTCTTCTGATCTAGATTGGTGGGGGGGGGGGGGGAGCATTAATAATCAACCAAACTTTCTGGGAATGTTTTCTCTAACTCTGTTTGGTAGTCTTATGATATCCACTAAACCGGAGGTAAGAGGATATTATCACTTGCTGGGTGAAGAACATGTTCTCCCGGGTTTCAGAAACCTTTTTTCTTTTTAAAAGCTTAGTTGTATAGTTTTGGGAGCACTCAGTTTCAGAGTTGTTGCTAAACTTTTTGTTTTTAAGGTGGCTATGGATCTAGTGGTGGATACAGTAGAAGATTTTAAAGCAAATCGCTGTAAGGTAGGTTCAACTCCAATTCATGAAAATGTAGTATCCAAAATTTACAGTACAATAAATAATCTTGTCCTGTATTGTTCAACAGGCAACAGTTCTTAGCAGGAGAGGATGAGCCAGGAGTTGTCAGGAAAGCTGCAGGTTACTTTGAGACAGAATATCGACCGAGTGCATTGTAAAGGCTACCCACAGGAAGAACGATGGTCCAGTAGTCAGAAAAGTTACTGCAGCATTAACATGAGATCATTTCTTGTTCAGGACTGTTTCCTATAGAGAGATTGGAATAAGTGCAGTTTGTTGCAACATAGTTACTGTTAGATGTACATTCTTGAGGTCCTTTTAAAAAAAACTGTCCTAGTCATGTCTATTTTCCTCATTTACTTTAGCTGTTGCGCCATGTAATTGTGGTAGTGGAATCGGGAATAAAAAGTATAAGAACTTTTTAACTAAACCCGTGTAGTCAGTTTTTCATACAATTATTAATCCAGAAAGGAACTTTAATGGAAAGTGTCAAACCTGTGAGTTTAAGTTAATTGGGTTTAAATGTTTAAGGTTACTGAAAGACCAAAAGTTCACTGTATTTTTGAGTGCACTGAACTACAACTCTAATCAGCATGTTGTTAACCTTTTGAGTTAGTGAGAGATTTGATGCAGAGCAGATGTTAAATTGAGTTGCACTTGATTAGCTGTTGAGAACCTAATACTTTGCGCATAATATGATGTTTGAATAATTTAAATACTAGGACAGCAAACATTCATTTTCTTCATCTTGAAATAGTTTCTGCTATAATTTCTATAGAAGCAGCTGCTACACTTTGCAGTTTGTGCAAAATATACCAGAACCAGGAAGCTTTGTTTTATAGGTAGAAACTTTTGCAATGAGAATGATTGGTTCTATTTAGCTTTTTTTTTCTTTCTGTTCAGAGATTTAACTGAATCTGAATTTAAATTTAATTTTTGAATTTAACTTTAAATTTTAATTTTAAAATGATGAAAGGTGATGAGCTAATTAGTATACGTAGATTTTAACAGTGCAGCTCCCAAAAACATGGTAATTATTTGGATTTCAGAGAGCGTTGCTTCTTGTTGATACTGTGGGTAGGAAGTTTATTCTGTAAACCCTTCCTTTATTGGAAAAAACACTCTGAAGTTAGTTGTAATGCAAACTATTTAATAAAAAAATAAAAAAAATTTACCTTCTAGGATGGGATTGCTGTTGCTACCTGCCATTGTAACACCAGCATCAGCAATTCCAGTCACCTGGCTGGGAATACAAAACAAAAGGAATGATCTTTCTCCCTACACACCAATCTAGTTCTTTTACACAAATGCTTTGTCTTTTGCTTAATAAAGTTTCAATATATGCAGCTTAGCAACATTTGGGGGTTTCCTACAAATGTATGCTATGTTGCATCTCTTTGGTATAATAGCTAAAATGTTTTACACAATTATAATAAAGTTAGCACATTTTAAGAAACTCAAAAGTGGAATATTTCCTACATTACAAAGGGATTGTCCCTTTGTTTTAATGTCAAAGTTGGAAAACAGTTTTACAGAGAATTTTTGTTGTAATGTGGTTGGCTGTGTCCAATGTCTCGCCCACTGTGAATGAGGCAAGGAAACAATGACCCATTTCTCATTTGTCAGATTGCTGCAGATGTCACATCGTGTGCACCATGCTCAGGAAGTGCTGCTGACAACTCCTTTGCAGAATGGCAGCAGTGCTGCTTTCGGCAGTGGAATGAGCAGCAAGTGATCTCTGGTGACCTGACAACTTTTTGAGTAGTCAGTGCCAGATGTACTTGTGGTTAGCATAGTTCCACAGTAGACTGTCACTAAGGCAGGGCTATATTGAAGGATACTATAATGGAGTTCCCTGTATTGAACCGAAGGATTATTCAGCATGATATTTTTGGATTGAATACAGTGGCTTTTTACAGCGACAGATTCCAAATCCATGCTTGTACTTTTATTTTAGTGGGGAGTGCTGTTTATAAGCTTCTAACAGGTTTTACAAAATAAAATGACAATAGTTTCCTTTCAATGAGAAACTGAGCCTTTTAATTTCCAATGTTTCGAGTAGGCAGTGGTTTTCAGATAATGAGGCTTAACTTTATCCTAGACTTTGTTTTTTAAAAATATTTCTCCAGTTAGAAACGTACAACTAATTTGAACAGAATTGCATGCGCTTGTGATGTAATTAATAGGCAATATCAAGTGAAATCGTATCTAGATGTTAGTTACGTGGCACGCAGATGACTTCCTTAAGTGACAGAGATCCTAAGTATTGGTGAGAGGACTACGGAAAAACAATCTCTGCAGCCAAGCTACGTTGGCACAGTGGATTATGGAAATGCACTAAGACAGGTCCACTGCAACCTATTGAATGTGAACAAGGCAGCATAATTAAAGAATGGCAAGGCAGGAGCAAGAGCCACATCATCAGAGGAAGTGAAACAGGAAACGCTGTGCTGATAGGCAACTTCATTATCTAAGGCTAGCTTGCCTTGAATGACAGCTGAAGTATGGAAGAAAGTCTAGCAAGAGTCTACAAACCTATGGAGCCATCTTGAGCCATAGCTACTAGAAGGGACACCAGTGCAGAATAAACACTTGTGGTAGGAGTAAGAGTCAGACCCGAATGAAAAGTTCTGAGTGTAGGTAAGGCTTGACTTTCATCTTGTTCGGGTGAATAAATGGGGAAAATGTGTTCTCTTGAATAAAGTCAAGAGAATAACTGGTCTGCTTAATTTACAGATTGGATAAGAAGCCGTCTTCCATTTTTACTGTGGCAAGTCTTGCATACTACGTTAATACGCAAGTAATTTCTGGAATGGTAAGATTGGAGAAAAATTTAGTTTATTATGTCAACATGCCATTTTTTTCTATGGAAATACATTAAGTCGATTTATTATGATAACATGCCTTTTCCTCAGGTGGTAATTTGAAAATGTAATGGTAATGTGATAAGTTAATGAATAATGAAATGCATTTATAATTAACAAATGACTGCTATCCATATGGCTAACTCCGTTTCAAATAGGATAATCCTCGGATATCAGGAGCCTTCAACAAATCTCAGTGGACCTGTGAAAATTCAACATTAGAGGTACATCATTGTACCGTAGCAATCTGGAACTGTGTACTTGCTCTCGAGATAATAAAACTGCAGTGGAACAGAGTTTTAATTGTTTTTTTGCAAACCACGTGTTGATCATTCTGAAGTCTTCTGTACAGTTTCCTGTATTTCTGAATTGTTGTTTTACTTACTCAAGTGTTTTTATATTGTATTGCTTTTTAATAAAGGTTTTTTTTTGCATCTGTTTGTTCATATTCTGTAGTATTTGCAAAATCCAGATTTAAAAATACTAATGGGTAATGTTCTTTTGCATTTGCTGAAAATATTTCCATTTAGTATACTTTAGTTTGACTTGGGGAGTGAAGTAGAGAAAAGGCATAGGTTTTCATATTTTTAATCTCGCTACCTCTCCCACCCACAATTTGAAGTGTATAATTCACAATAGCTTCCTGTCTTAAACTTGGACTGGTCTAAGCATTTTGAGCACACAACCTCATTGTTCTGGATGTGAAGGGGCTGAGATGAGCAGCGTAGGATCAAAGCTTTCAATTCCTAATTTTTGTCAGTCAAAATCAGCAGCAGCAATCATGCGAGGTATAGTAGTCAAAGAAAAGCCTATTTTACCCTGCCCCAACATTTTATCTTACTGGGGAATGGAAATTAAAAGACAATTTATATTGTCGGAGCTGTACTGATTTTGAAAGGGGGTGTTCAAAAGATTGTTCCGAAGGGCAAGATGCATGAAAAACATTACAATTGGGCTGGTGGAGAAGGATCGCTCAGGAAAGTCACGTAGTCGAAGGTAAGGTTTTGGATCTTAAATTTGATATCCTGAGGCCTGGAGCGCTAGGTTAATAAAACAAATCCATCTTTATAGTCTTAGGCTGAGAAAGACTCGATGAAAGAACATTTTTGACAAATAAAGGATTGATGAAACAACACTTTAATAAATGGGCAATGATCACCCAAATGACTTGAAGCAAACACTAGGCTCTAGAGAACTTTATATATTTTATTATTTTCCCTATATAAAGCAAAGAAACAGAAGTTCATAATCATTTGACTAATTCTCATTTTATCTTGAAATGTAATAAAAAGTTACAAAACAACTTGCAACAGAAGAAAATTAGCTTACTAAAAATACATTTTTTATAAATCTATGAAAGACTTCCATTCAGTAGCAAACAAGATAGAAAACTGCATATATAAATATGATGTGCAATATTTACAAAACTACAGAAACACTAACAGAAGCAGTGTGTAATCAGCAATACAGAAAAATCATTGAAAGGAAAGAATAATCAGTAAGGCTGTTTACCGGTGCCCTCCTAGCGTTGCTTTTGTCTGGTGTAATACATTTGCATTCTAATTGATTGGTCATCTATATTATAAGCAATCTTTAGTGAGTTAATTGTCTTTTGTGTAGGAGTCACTAACATACTAAAGTTTTAAGCTTGTGGGTTCGCATGACTTCAGTTTAAAAAAATAGGGTTCAACAAAAATCCATTGGAATTTTATTCTCTCTTTATCTCTAGTTTCTTGCTCCTTGGGACAAGAAAGACACTGCCATCACTTGTATGCTGCAATGAGTATTCACTGGGGGAATATGGGTGGCCGTCTCCATCTCGTAACATACTAAACACTTCACGATATAGACTGTTCAGCTGCTGCTTGATTATGTGCAGGCTTTTGTTATGCTCTCCCTTTTCTTCAAGGAGTTTTTCCTTTTCATCTTCAAGACTATCCAGATCTTGTTCCAGACCAACAAGGTTTTCCAGTTTCCGCTTCCGACAATTCTGAGCTGCCACCTTATTCTTGCCACGACGGCGAATGTCACGAATTAGGGCAAGCTGAGGCTCATTAAGTTGGTACTTGGATACCATCTCATTGAAATCATCCACAGGGAGGTTGATAATCTTGCGGACAGAGAAAGGAACTTTCAGTGCTTTAGCTCGCTGCTCATCTCTGGTGAGCCGGGCTTCCACCCGTTTTGAATGCTTGTCTTTGGTGAACGGGGCTTTCCTGTGGCCGGGGCTTACTGGTAGCTCATCCTTTGGTGTTTGTCTGGTGTCAAGATTCAGGCAAGGACTGGGTTTTGTAAGATCTTGAAGAGAGGGAGTCTGATATTGGTCTTCATTCTGATACTGCATTGGGTACATCTCAGGAAACTCTGGTTTAACACTGTCAGGACTGCTTTCAAGGTCATCCATGTCAGAATCACCATGACTATAAGGAGCATCTCCACAGATAGATGATCCCATTGAATTGTGTGGAGAAGCTGTATTGGGGCTTGAACCCAGGCCAGAGTCTGAATCCGGAACCTCAGGAAAATTTGGTGGTTGCTTACAGTCAAAATTTTCATTCATTGCCAAGTCAGAAATGGTAATTTGTTCAAGAAGAGGATCATCCAGTATCCCAGTAAGGGAATCGGTCATGGTGGTAAGTGGGGAAAGATTGCTGTTTCTCTGGGTATTCACAAAGGTTGAGCAAAACAGACCATTGAAATTGTTACTGAATGAAGAGTTTGCATTGTCTGAGGCATTTGTTTTGAGCTGGATCATGTCTTGACTCTCGGGTGGCATTATTTCTTGATAGGGACGGTCAAAAAGAGAGAGGAAACTGTGATTGCTTTCCGTCACCATTTGATCGCTTGGCAATGTGGCAATGTAACCGTCACTTTGTATCTCGGATGCTTTGCTCCTTGAAGAAAAACCTGCAGTACCACCGAAGTGCTCATTCTGCATGTGCAGCCACTGAATGAAGAAAAGAAAAGTACTTAGAGAACCAAATCAGCAAAATCAGGAAGCTGCCTTCAATCACACCTTAGCCCTTTTATTCCTTTAGTCAGTTTCAATCAAGTAATATAAAAACAACTTTTAAAATGGAATAGCTGCATCTTTTTTAATTATCGTGTTTGTTACTGCAAAATCGTTTGGTAGAATTAAGTGCCCTAAATAAAAATATTATTTTAAATCCCAGCTGGATAATTCAATGCTGTTTGGCCCTTAAAAGTCATGTGAATGGATAGCAGCATAATCCAGTGGATAAAAATCAAGGTTTGAAACAACATTAGGGCAAAAGCTTATATGTGCTTTTTCATTAAATTTCCTTCACTGCAATAATTGCAGTCCAAAGAGTATTCTACGCTTTTACTTATTAAATCTGCAGTACATGTTTCAGGATGAAAGCTTTTATTGTTTAAAATGTCCACTTATCTCTCTCCATTTAAACACACACAACTTCAGGTCACATAATACACATTTGAAGAGAGAGAAGCAAATGCCACCACTACCTGAATGTCAGATTAATACTGTCAAACAATGGTGAGTTTGTTCTGTGAACAAATAGTTTATTACAGATCTAAATTCTTCAGGTGTTTGTTACATTTAGGCTCTGTATTTAATGGTTGAATTCAGCTATTGCAGTTACCTGAAGCTCTGGAATTGAAAGTAGCTCCTGCCAGGTTTGCTCTAAGTCCTCCAGAGAGTTTGACTCGGGTGCTGCAGATGGCAGGACTGAAGTTTCTGCTTGCTGGGTCTCATGAGGAGCCATTTGCTGAGAGCTAGTCTGAGCTGGAATTGGAACTGAAGGTTCTAGAGGAACTGTAGCTTCAAGTGGAACAGTCTAGAAACAAAATTAATCATTAAGTCAAAGAGATCTTTGCATTTGCCTCTTACAGTAACATCTACATTCTCTGAGCACTGTTGCAAAAATCTTACAGGAACTATTTAGGTTCCCTGAATTTCTATGGTTACATTTCCTCATATGAGCAGCCACAGTTGTTCTTGCCAAATCATTTAAATGCTGTTACTGAACTGGAGATTGAAATTTTTAAAAAAATCTTTTGAAAGACTTGTTTCAGAAAGATGCACATTTTTAAAGAATATTCTGATTCCACCAAATTTTGTAAACAGAATATTCTTATATCTAAAGGAACCACTTAACCTTTATTTTTTTCAACTTTTGTAATATATAGTTATTACACAAAGACATTAACATGCCTAAGTTTGACATCAGGAATGAAAAAAAGTCGACAGACATACAATACATTCTAGAGTTTCCATTGTTAGGAATAAAGGCCTCACCTCTATATCCTCTACAAATGGGAATGCCTCTGCAAGAAGCTGCATGCATTCATCAAATGACAGAGCCTCATTATCTTGTTCTGCTGTCCTTGGTATCTAAATTACGGAGAAAACCGGTTACCAAAAAACAGTGGGAGACAGTTTTAAACAAAGAGACAATACATACACAAGCATAAACAAAGGTGAGCGATATATAAACTGATGTGCTTTTATAAAATATGTTTTCAATTAATACCACAACTGAAGAGTAGGCTCTTAGCTCGGAGTGTGCTTTGTATGGCACCTTTAAAAGTTATAATACCTGTATAGATTCCGTCAATCCTTCAGTGTTTGCAGGCTCACTGTTCTTTGCTGGCCGAATGGCAACAAATTCACCCGTCTCTTCATCTAACTGCAGTTGTGCCAGTAGAGCTTTCTCCTGCTCTTTCTGGAGCTGTTCCTGCTTTTCCTTCTCAAGTTTCTTCTGTTTCTCTAGTGCATATTCTTTTTGTCTGTAGTTGTAATCGAAATCCTCACGAACAACACCAAGGTCTATGTCTTGCCTCCACAAGATGTCAATTAAATCTCTGTCCTGCACAAAAATAGACACGAACAATCCAGTAAATAGTACAAGACCACTCATATCACCAGGTACAACACATAATAACTCATCACATTTTTACACATGCATCAATCTGAGAGTTAGGTGAGAATGTTTAACTGTTTCCATGTGATACACCTTTCAGTTCAACATCACAAGCCCTCTGCAACCCCAAGAATCAACTCATTTCAGCTATTGCTCGTTGCCAAGTAAGAAAAGGCTGAATGCTGTGGAGTTCATCTGAGTTTGAAAGACAGTTTCATTGTTTCAAACAAAAACATCAGTCCTATTCAAATGTAGTCTGTCCAGTGAATTTAAACTATTTTTAAATAGTAAGTGTGGCAAAAAAAAACTAAACAGAAGTGGAGCTACACTTTTTCATGTAATTGTATCCTGCACAACAATTAGATTGCAACACCTTCAATTCTTGTTAATTTTCAGAACACGAAAATGCAATTTAAGTAGTATGCAATACAACATTTTCAGTTTTCAATTCAGAGATTTTTCTGCAATACAGAAAAAGTTTCATTCTTTATACAATGGGAGTATTGGTACAGAGAATGAAATGCATAGCTCAGTACCTTTTAAAAATGTTTTCTTCCTAATTACATTTGATGTAGCACCCCAATGAGCTACATATTTACATATTTTGTAGGCAAACAAAGCAGCCAATTTGTACACAGCAATGTCCAACAAATGGTCATGAACTGCCAACAGCAATTGTATCTGGAAGACTACTGCCCAAGACACTGAGAGAAATTCCCTTCTCTTTTCAAATAATGCAATAGGGTCTTCAATGTTCACCTGAACAAGCAGACTCAGTTTAAAAATCTCATGCAAACCCCAAATAAAGAACGGCACTTAAGGAGATAACCGAGGGTACTCGGTGCTGGAGGAAACATACTGCATTTTGGAAAAGCAGTGCTGCAAACCTGACAGTAATAATAATAATCCTTAAATTTGATATAGCACCTTATCACGTTTTCAAGACGTCTCAAAGCGCTTCACAGAATATACTGTAAAGTGAATTGACTGTATATTTAAACCTGACACTCAGACTGGCTTCTGTAAAGTTCACCATGAGGCACAACCACAGCAGCAATATCCTGCACTTGCCAGGTTCCAGTAAGTGTAACCTTAGAAGATAAAAGGGGAGTGTTCTGATATGGGGAAAACCCAGAGAGATGCACAACAAGGAACATAGAGGTAGGTATGCAGTTGCTCTGTGACTAAGGTCACCTACCAAACAGAACGCATGCTGGTTAAGAACATTGCTTAAAAAAAACCAGCAAAGCAGTTGAATGTTAATGTTTCTGGGAATGTTTTCAGATTCACATTCGCCTAGCAATGGAAATAGAACTATTGTATGGTTAAGGCAAGTCCATTGCTAATATTTAACAGTTTTAACATGCAGAATGCAGAGACAAACATCTGAAAAGTATACAGAATAATTTGCAGTTCATATCAAATACCTGTACTCCATTCTACACTGGTAAGCCAATACCTTACTGCAAACCTTGCCATGTACAAGTAAAAGTAAACAGACAATTCATGCAGTATAAAGACCCAAATGAACAGAAGGACATTTCATTTCCTTGATTAAACCACATTGCATCATTTTACTGGAACAGAAACACTGATCTGACAACCATTAATTAACCCATCACAACACCCAAGTAAAGATAAATCACAGAGATAGAGAATTTTCATACAATGGAGGGAAAGAGAAAAATAAACAATATCCTGTACTGCACATTCCTCAGCACTCCAGGTGCAGGATCACAGTGTTCGATTTAATGCTGAGTTTAGAATGCTGAACCATTTCAGTCTGAGGTAACTCTGAGGTCCCAGCTTACTGCTGGTGGCAATAGCAGATAATAGGTGGGGGATATATAGAAAATACATTGTTGGGCTGGTATCTCTCAGCCCAATGGCTAAAAGAAATGGAGGGAGGAGGTCACCTGCAGATGCATGAAAGCACAACTCTTGAGGAGATATGTCACATCTTTACAATACAGGGTGAGGATGGCACTTCCATCAGAGGCACCTGACACATTACTAGTTTGGCTCTTGGGTTAATTAGGCTGAGTGAGCTCTTCTCTCCCTCTCTCTGCTGAGTCTTGTTCCTGGAAGTTAATGGGTGTGGCTGATTGGTGTTTGAGCTCCTCTGCTGATAACTACAATGAGGATCAACATTAATAGAATTACAGTTCATCTCTCGGTCAATATTTTTCTTGGGTTTTCTCATTTCATACATCCAACCTCAGCCTATTAGCTGCCACAGGTACACTGAAGCTCACAGAAAACAAGGACATTGTTAATGGCAGACATGCAAAGTTTAGTTCCCTGATCCTGGCTGATCTGTTTACTTTTACATAGCAAGGTTTGCAGTAAGTTCCAAGCGGAATTATACTCTTGTCACCTTTCCATAGCAAGCCTCATCAGACAATAAATCAATAGCTTCAAGTTAACCTTCATGAATTCTTAGTAGTGTTCTATAACATTTCTGCAGAGCTCATTTTTCACTCCTGTAAATTCCTTGCTTCTCCCCAGTTTTATTCTCAAGCAGAAGTAACATTACAGACACACTAGAATTACAAACAGGGACAAATAAATACGGGCTTTCCTCAGCCTGAGAAAAAGCATTTTTTGGGATTTTTTGTGTAATTCACAAAATAATCCAGGTGAAGTGGCAGAGAAAATAATCATGACTGCTACTTGTCTAGTCTTGAATACATCTAAAATATCAAGCAAATGCCAAATAATTGTTTTACTTATTTCTGTAAAATATGAATGATCATTTAAAGCATTTTATGATGTGTCAGGAAATAATTCATAGAGCTAAAAGAAATGATCAAATTCTTTGCGACTCCCTGTTCTTGTCCGGTTCTGCACTTGGCAAAAGGTGGCAATTTTAAAGCTAATGGCATACCTAAAGAGAAGCTATAACCCTCTAGGCCTTTTGAACTCAGGTGAGAACTGACTTACTGCCCTTAGTAGTGGATCTGTACTCTGCTTCCTGATCAATTCCTATGAATTTCTATCTCAGTCCATCAGTCAGTTGAGAGGCTCCAACCAACTGGAATAATGTCTTCTTCATTCTAAATCTCTTTTTAGAAATACAGTATTGACGTGCTTGAAGGTTCTGAATTACAGAGTTACTCTCTGCAACTCCATCCTGGCGTCCCTTCACCTCACCCTTCCCTCGCCTTCTTCAAGGTCCATCTCAAGACATTCCTCTTTGACTGCGTCTTTGGTCATTTTCTCCCCCCCTCCCTGAATCCAACCCCCAGTTCAGGTGCAGACCCTCTACTATCCAACGCCTTGGGATTAACACCTCTACTGTCCAACACCTCCAGTTGGAGGAGTCCTGTAGCTCAGTGGTTAGAGCACTCGCTTTGCAAGTGAGAGACCTGAGTTCAATTCCAGGCAGAGGGCGAAACCTTGGGCAAGTTTCCTTACTCCACACAGAGCCTAATAATAATCCCTCCAAAAAACAAAACAATAATAAATTGGTCATTTTCAATCCATGACTGTTTGTGGGACACTGCTGTGCGCAATTGGCGGCCGCGCTCGCCCACAAATATACAGTCAATTCACTTTACAGTATATTCTGTGAAGCGCTTTGGGACGTCTGGAAGACGTGTAAAGTGCTATATCAAAATGCAAGGATTATTATTATGATGTCCTCCCGACGTGAAAACCACTATAATCAATGCAAATTGTTGCTGTTGTAAGCATAATACTCCTAATAACTATGTCAATATCCTACAGCAAATAGAGCAGATGATTGTTATGCAATTTTTCTCTCATTGATCTCTTGGGGGCAGTTGTGGTGATTTACGTAATTTATCCGTTCTGCCTGTTCCCTACAGTGTTTCATTTGTTTGCCTGAGTAGTCATGATTTAAGTATTCTGATTAACTCGAGCACCTCCCCATCTCTGTGATCTTCCCCATTCTGTTCTCCTCCACCCAGCTCATGTTGGTTTGCTGCACATTCCCTGCCCGCTCCTTACCACTGTCGATTGCCAAGCCTTCACCTACTAAGCCAATAACCTTGTCCCTCCCCTCTACCCTGCTTCAGTCTATTGTCACCTTCCCCTGTCTCCCTTGCATGACACCCATTGCTGTGCAGAGCTCCTTGGCATTATCCTATGTGAAGGACGCTAAACAAATACAAGCTTTTTTTAATATTTAATTTGTCTTAAAAAAATGGAACAACAACTATGAATCACAACTAAATAGTCTCCCACTTTGTGTTTAAACGGCATCTATTTAGGCACTATGCCCGTAAAAGCTCAAGGAAGTGCTGTACCCAAAAAATCCAAGAGACAGGGCAAGCAAAAGGTGGAAAACATGGCAACAGCCCAGCTTCAGCCCCAGGCTCCTTCTCAGTGTTTATCTTTTCGGAGCTGAATGATGAGCGAGGATAGTTTAAAGTGCAGCGTAGCCAATCATTGTATGAATCTTTTATGCCACGTTACAGACCACTCACACATTAAAAAAAATCAGATTACGAAGAAAAGCTACTCAAAGACAAACTCAAAACTATCAGAGAAACAAAATGTTCATATACTGTCCTGTATATGTTCCATACTAATAAGAAAAATATTTATGCTCTCAGAGTAAGCTGCTGTTTCCCAGTCATTATTAATGGCCATAAAGTAGCAAAAAGTCTGAGGAATTTTCTGGTCAGATAAACATTCAGTGTTTCATGTGTCCTGGAGCTTTTGGAGTTTATTCTTAAAGGGTTGATATCACTAGCCAAAATTTCGCTCACCAGTCTTGGGACTATCATGTGATTTTCCTTGCTGGTTCTGCAATAATAGGACTAACATTTAGTATCTTACAATCTGAACGTTCAAAATAGCTATAGAGTGATGCAACACAATTCAATTTCGTCACATTTTGTAATAAAATGAAGTACAGTAAACTCCTGATAACTTGACCCTGGACTAACTTGTCACTAGCATTTAAGACATCATGCTGT